ATATATTTTTCATATATACATATATATAATATGTAAAATATATGAAAAATTGATGTGGGTACTCAAATGAAAGGTCTCGATGAATATAACATTGGGATGAGCTTATATCTTTAAAATTGTCAATAGTTCACAAGATACAAGGTCATCTAATATTTATAATAAATTGACTATCGGTGAGAATAATATGAAACTTTGAAAAGGCACAAATTAAGACCTTTGTAATGAGGCTAAATTTTATTAAAAAAATTGATGACTATCCTGGACATAAAATTTTTCTTATTCTCTTAATAATATAGGTAAAAAAAAATATTACCAGTCCATTTGATTACTGGCTGATGAAATAAAAAATATTATTTAAATGCTACCTCGTATGAATCTTCGAGGTCTCGGAGAGTAGTTTGAACTTTCGATATCCCAAGGCTGGTTTGGAACTGTCAGGAAACTCATACGCGGCGTGGTAGCAAGTGACGTAAAAGTTGTTCCAGCGTCAGCAACAGTGTGCTTTTTTTTTAAGCGTTTAAGACAGCACTCAATTCCGAGGACTAGACTAGCAATAAGGATCCCAGCACCGAGAACGAGGAACATGCCTTCGGTGTCATCTAAAGCTAGTGGTCTTTCTTCTATAATAACTTTTCGTCGCTTGTAATCCTCGGAAATCTAATTATAAATAATAAATTATAAATGTGATAAGTCAATTATTACATGACTGTTTTAAAATAATATTTTTTAATAATAATAATAATAATAATATTAACTGGAAGGCGAGTTCCTTCGGCCGTTCTCTGAAGATCCCACTCAACATCCCGGATTATTTTCTGAGTCAAACCAGATTGTCGGGCTCGCATTATTACTGTATCAAAAGTCTGAGTGTATATCGAGTCCTTGGGTAATACCAAAGTAACTCCAAAGTTAGCCAAACATTCTTTAGTGATATGCATAGTTGATCGCCTCGTCGACCAGCTGCAATAAAAACATTCCCAATTACTATCGAATATAACCGTTACAATTAATATTTACAGCCTAACTCTCTCTCTCTTTCATTATAATTACCTAGGAGTATACTCGGCCTGTACAAGATAGTCGAGAGCCATTTTTGATCCAAGAAATGTGTAAGACCAAAAAAATGAACTGCTTGCATTTCTAACTCCTTCTTTGATTGTTGGTACATACTCCAGAGATTTTAATAATTTAACAGCTACCGGATCATCAATTGTGCTCCAATTGAACCATTTTTCCCAACCGTCATGATCTAAGTAATAATTAAAACGAGTAATTGGTTAATTTTAAAAGTACAAGGCTTTAGTTACCTAAAGTTGCGACATCGTAACCTTCATCCAGAAGTTGATCGATAGTGTCTATTGATTCTGGGAACATCGGTACTGTAATAAAAGCCATAATTGATCCAGTGTAACAAGACGTTATAATTATTGTAAAAGCCCAGTAGAAACCTGAAATTAAATATTCAATTATTGATCTTTTAAGTTAAGAATTTAAAGTTAAGGGATTATTCTGGTTTAATTTTTAAAAAAAATTATTATTTTTACATTTTTCGAAAGTACATATATCTAAAAGTATTGTATTAAAATTTTTAACTGATAGGACTACTGTAACTATATTATTTTAATATTTTAATTTACAAAATTTAGATTTTTACCATTTTTTTTTAGAGTAAAAAATGTGAAAAAATGCTCATTTTTCATTTTTTTTAAATCTTCGTCATTTTATTATTTATTAATAAATACTAGCAACCTCGCAGTCACTATGTGACTCGTTAACTATAAATAAATAAAATTTTGCTTTATTAAATAATGACTTTTGTTAAATTGCACTGTACTTTCTAAATATTGACGTTTTTAAAGATATAAGCTCATCCCGATGTTACACTCATCAAGAGCTTTCATTTGAGTACCCATATGTTTTTTGATATATTTTTCATATATAAATATATGAAAAATTGATGTGGGTATTCAAATGAAAGCTCT